GTGTCTCTCTCAGGCACGCAGCTGTGAGTGTGGAGGGAAATGTCAGACACTGAGCGAGCGAGAGAGAGAGAGAGAGAGAGAGCGAGAGAGGATAGTAAACATGACAACTGTGAAATAAGGCAGTGTGTCTGTGAAGAACATGCAGAAAGCAGTATGTCACTTCTAGTGTGTCCCCACAGATATTATAAAAAGAGACCAACCTTAGGTCTGTATTGCATAGCATGAGCCATTTAAAGGGATAGTTCACCCCAAAAATTGAAATTCTGTCATAATTTACTCACTATGGGGCCGTTCAACTGTTAGGTTACCAATATTCTTCAAAATGTCTTTGTTTGCGTTCATATACATGGAGGCTTGACGTGCAAAAAATTAATGAGGTGCATTCTCGTGTTACGCATCACGTTTGAACTTCTGCAAGAACCAATGAGGTTCATTCTCGTGTTACGCATCACGTTTGAGCTTCAACAAGAACCAATGAGGTTCATTCTCGTGTTACGCATCACGTTTGAGCTTCTGCAAGAACCAATGAGGATCATTCTCGTGTTACGCATCACGTTTGAGCTTCAACAAGAACCAATGAGGATCATTCTCGTGTTACGCATCACGTTTGAGCTTCTGCAAGAACCAATGAGGTTCATTCTCGTGTTACGCATCACGTTTGAGCTTCTGCAAGAACCAATGAGGTTCATTCTCGTGTTACGCATCACGTTTGAGCTTCAACAAGAACCAATGAGGTTCATTCTCGTGTTACGCATCACATTTGAACTTCTACAAGAACCAATGAGGTTGGTTCTCGTGTTACGCATCACGTTTGAGCTTCTACAAGAACCAATGAGGTTGGTTCTCGTGTTACGCATCACGTTTGATCTTCTACAAGAACCAATGAGGTTGGTTCTCGTGTTACGCATCACGTTTGAACTTCTACAAGAACCAATGAGGTTCATTCTCGTGTTACGAAAGCTCTCAGATTTCAACAAATCTTCATTTGTGTTCCGAAAATGAACGAAAGTCTTATGGGTTTTGGAACGACATGAGTAATTAATGACCCTTTAACTGCTTTTTAGATTAGCAGTGTTCAGCAACCGTAAACTCTGCTCTGTGCCTAACAAACACAGTTTAACAACAAGTTTAGTCTCATAAATGATTTGTTTGGGTCACACTCAACCGGCTAACACATTTTTTCTATTGCACGATGAGAAATGGTGTCCGAATTGTGGTTTTTGAGGTAAGCTGCTCCTTTAAAAGGACCCTTCTAAGGCACCTGTAATCACACTCGAGGAAATTCAGCACATGATGTCCTTTCACTGCATGCGCTCCGTCCCCGGAGACCCCAATCTCTCAGCACGCTCACATATAAGGGGTATTGTGTGAGCGAGGCTCGTCGCATGTGAGAGAGCATTGTTCCCTCTCAGAGACCGTAACTTTACCTAAGATTTGCGTCTCCAGAGTTCAGGTTACCAGACGTCACCCCCCACCTCTATCTGCCCACTTTGTCCCTGAGAATAATTTTCCACTCTTCTTTTCCCGGGAAGTCACCTACATTCATCCGCTGCACTTCTCATCCTCTCATTATACACACGCCTATAGCAAAAATAGACACTAATTTTGAGGGATTGAGCGCTGCGAGTGTAAACACAGAAGAGGAGAGAGTAACTTATCCTTAGAAAATCCTCCAGAAGAGTCAAACTAATTATTTTTAAGATAGATGGTATTTTATCTGGTTCATTGTTGCATAAACTCGCATAAAATATATGTTGCATAGGGGTAAATTACATCTGGCCTCTTGCTGAAAATAAACATCTTTTCAGTAATTATATCCTTTAAGTAAAACAATTACAATCCCCTGTGTTGTGACTGTGTGTGAAAAATGAGCCAAGCTTTAACCAGAAAAGGAAAGAAATGAATAGGATGCATTAAATTGGTCAAAAGTGTCAGTAAACATATTTAAAATGTTACAAAATTGCAAATCAGCATTATTAGAATGATTGTTGAAGGATCACGTGACACGAAGTAATGGTTATTTTAAATTTGATTATTATTCCACTGTTTTTACTCTATTTTTGATCAAATAAAAGCAGCCTTGGTGAGCAGGAGAGATTTCTTTCAATTCAATTGAAGGAACTTTAAAAGTCTTTTAAAGAGTTTTTATTAGCCTACTAAAATTACATATTTAAATGTTTTTTTTCTTTGAAAAAAAATGATTCATGCATAAAAATAGCTTGAATGTAACACCCTTGCCTCATTTAGTATGCACGGTTCTATGAATATGCAAATGAGCCCCTCCTCCCCTCACTCACTGGTTGACGATCACACGTTGATCTGATTGGTTGCAAGGTCGTTTGTGACATCAGAAACACCAGCGATTTCAAAGCGTGTTTTTGAGCCTGTCTTTGGTTCACTGCAGTTTTAAGAAAATACCCAGCAATGCAAAAACACATGATTTGTCTTAAAGCGTATTAAAAACATCACATAGACTTATAAATAACATTAAAAGCTGGATTTTCACCACAGGGGGACTTTAAAAAATCTTACCGACCACAAAACATTTGAACAGTAACATAATGGGGGGAAAAAAATCAAAATAACAATTAAAAAACCACAACAATACAAAGGAAAGGAAAATGCATGTGCAAAAAAGCAAGCTGCATGAATCAACTTACATAAATAAAATGTCTGTTAATATGTTACCATTTCCATGATTTATTATCCGTCATTAAACTTTTAAATATCTGTACTCTGTACTGCTAATTTATTTGAATGACACCCATTACGCTTTGCCCGTGAACCTTGAACAGTTTTGCCCTCGAGACGTCTCTGCTTACCTATAAACAGCAGGAGAAAGCAGAAACGTACGAAAGAGTAACACGACCGTCTGAACACAGAATGGATAGTGAAAGTAAAGATCTAGCAGGTTGACACAACAAACACTATATGTCACACTGGATCATGGAAAAGCACTCTACCGAAACCTTTGTGAAACATTGTCCCATAAGGGCTTGACAAAGTTCTCTGGTGAAATTGTTTTAGCCCTGATCGTGATTAACATGAATTGCTTTTCTATAACTTTGCAAAGGCTATTTCCCCTCACCATTAACTTAACTAATACTCTAATGACTAGTTGCAAAGTTACTTATAGAACGTCTAAAGGGGACCATCAAATTAAAGTGTAACCCTATGAGCAGTTATTAACATTAGGCCTACAAGCACCATTAATGATTGATCTCATCCTGAACTTCTTGAGTCTTCCACACAGCAAACCCTTGGTTTAGATATGTGTTTGACCCCTGGCTGAAGAACACAATGATCATAAACACGGTAACACATCAGTTCACACGGGAACGAGGACATCAGACCATGTGGTCTGATCAGAAGTGACAGTAAAAGATTCAATTTCACTGTTCATTGGAACTTTCTTCATCAAATTATCTTTTCAACATTGATAATAATCATAAATGTTTCTTGAGCATCAAAATTATCACATTAGAGTGATTTCTGAAGGGTCATGTGACACTGAAGACTGGAGTAATGATGCTGAAAATTCAGTTTTTTTCACAGGATATAAATTACACTTTATATATTCATATAGAAAAGTGCAGTTTTCATTTGTGATAATGTTTCACAATATTAATGTTTTACTGTGTTTTGATATAGGCCTATATATATATATATTATATACACACACACACCTGTTAAAACAGCTTGTTTTTCTGATGTAAAAACCACAAAGATAAATCATATCGGCACTTTTCAAACTCACATTTGTAGCAGAGTTTGTTTGGATTTATGGCTTTAATTTTCTCACAATTTTACGTAAAACATTTTTTGCAAAATATCTCAATTTGTTTTTATTTTTTTTATCATTTTATTTGAATTGTCTTTGTGCATTTATACAACAATAAACGTATATAACTTTTTAAAATTCGCTTTTTAAAATAAAAACCACTTGAGCAATGATCTGACAAGTGTCATCTTTTAAAAGAGACCAAATTTAATTCGTCAAAGCATTCAAGATGATTGACAGTTTAAGATGGAATTTTAATTTTTTTTTATCTACGCCCAAACAGTGAATAAATGCATTATAACTGATGCATATATATATAATTTAGCACCATAAAAATACAAAATATTAAATAAAAACATTATTGACCAATAGTGCAATCATTTCATTTGAAAAGTATTTGATTAATAGTTATATTATTAATTATTCCAGCCTTCTATTGTATGCTTTAGCCCGCTAATTTATGTGTAACACTCATTATGCTTCACTCTTGAACAGTTTTGCCCTCGAGACATCTTCGCTTACCTATAAACAGCAAGAAAGCAGAATCACAAAAGAAGGAAGAACACACATGTATAAACTCAAAACAGTGAAAGTATTATTATGCTGCGGGTTCACGCAGAATCATGACATAATCACTCAATATATAATTTTACAGACTTATTAGTCCTGTAACAGAGCTAAAAAGGTTATTGCTTGAATCAGCCAATGCTGAGAGCACTTTACGGTTTCGACACTAGACGGTGCAGATCCAGAGCATGGAAAGCATTTATTGTGAGTTTTGAGTCGGTCAGGGCAGAATGCTCTCAGAATAACACAGACGTAAAGTCTGACCACTCACAAGATTCAAAAGATGGATTTATTCGCCAGACGGGCATTCCTGTTTTACAAACTGCTCATTTCTCCACTAAAACAGCATCTACAAACAAGGCTCAATGCACAATTAGCATGGCAGATTTACAATGGGAACAAAGGTGGCTGCTCAACAACATTTAAAGAGCTTAGTGCTTCAAAACAGCTTTATTCATAAACACGGAGAGAAATATAGCTTTAGTCTCTCGACTTGGCAAAGGCTGAGAAACAAGCTGGTTCATTTGGGAACAGATCCAAAATATGGTCGTTCCCAACGTTCCCAAAGTTTTTTTTTATTTTTTTTTATTGAATTTCAAGAATTACAATTTCAAAGTGACAAACTTAATCAAAACCATTTTAAAAATGCTTGTTTTTTTTTGGTTATGCATGTGCACATTCCATTTCATCATTCCGCAAACATAAAGGGAACATCCCTTTAGAATTTCTCTGAACATTCTAAGTTCCATTCCATTCCCGTCACTCATGATTGGCCAGTTGGGTCAGCTGGGGTAGTGGACACTTCTTATGTAACAGTTGCACTCGGTGGGCTGAGCCGGTGATTCACTCACAGACGAGAAGTTACTGAATGACTTGCTGAGGAAACAAGCGAGTAAGTTAGTGTGTGTGAATGTGTGCCAAGTAAGACATGTCCAACATTCCTGTCCGGAAATTAGTCCTAACCCTATAACCCTACACATTCGCTCAGAGTGAAATGATAGAAGCTCCTAGCCCTGGTTTAAGCACTTGACTTTAACTGTAAACGTGTCCCTCAAATCTGATTGGTCGACTGGAATGTTGATCCAGTAGAATCAGGTTCACACGTCTGTTTGTCAATGACATCATCGAGCTTCAAACACACGAGGCGAGGCGAAGCTGCCCTGCTTTTAATGAACACACACAAAATGAAGACTATAGCAAACAAAAGATACAAAAGCTGAGCCGTTCTTTTGCTTAGGCTCGCCTGTGTGGTTTTGACCAAAAAAGGATTGTTTATTATCCCATAGGAAAGAAAAATTACACGTTTATCTAACATCTTTTAAATAATATGTTAGTTGTTTCTCCAAGACAGGAGTGATAAATAATGCGACTTAGATTTAAGACCACAGAGACTATAATCTCGTTTTAGAAATAATGTCTCAATATAGCTGCCATCCACATTAAAGTTATATATGTTCAGGGTTTTTTTTTTTTTTTTAAAGAAATGTAACATACATAAATATGTTAGAAATAAATATCGTCTTAGAGTCTAAGTCTGTTTTTATTTATTTTAAGATCAAGATTTCAAGATCTTGATCACTCATCTTACATCAGGAACCACAGAGAACGCTTGCCTGTGACAAGATGGCCGCCGGTGATGACGATAAAGACTCCGCCGTAAGACATCTAGCATTTATTATTAACATCTATGGTTCATTCACTCCTCACAGTTGTGCTGGAGTGTGTTTCCCATAAAACGCCGCAACTCGCTGCTTAACTATAGTACGATGCATTGTTGAAGAAATCAACTAGTTAGTCACGACCCCAAACCATATTGTCGCCATGTGGTCGGCAACCACGTTGGTGTATGACGTCACGCACGTGGTGGAGTGATAACTTATTTTAATGAAACTGTTTGAGATCGAATTAATGCTAGATGTTTTGATTATAAATTACAGATATGCATAAATATTTCGCTTTATTTCCAGATTCAATCATAGACTCGTTCATACACACTTCAGCTCGTTCACACACGCGTGTTTTAAATCTTTTGACAAACTCAAAGACGAAAATGATATTTGCAGCCTGTGTTTTACGGTATAAAATAAAAGACACAGGTTGCACTGAATGTCAGCTTGCTTAATATGGATTTTATGAGTCCACATGTCATCTAGAAATGATTCTTCTTCTAACCACAGGTCGAGATGGTTTCGGGAAACACACTCCTCGAGGGGTTTCCTTTGTGTGTGTGTGATTGACGGGACAGTTGGCATTGCGTAGCCTACTGTCATTTCCAAACAGCTAAAGATACGGGAAGGCCAGCGATGGATTAACACTTTCAGAAGATAATCCTGGACACACATTCACCTCCAAACAGATGGCAGTCTTTAACACTGTGTGTGTAACCAGGGAAAGGACACTGGGAGAAGTGTCAGAGTTTGGAGCCCCTAACCAATTCGGCTACAACTTTATTAATAGACTTAACAGAAAACAACATTTCCAACCATGTGACCTCCTGTTTGGAAAGAAAAATAATAAAATGGTGTGATTGATTTTATCCATTAAGAATTGTTTGTTCCATCATCAACAATAAGGGTTTAATGTTATTAAACCGCCATTGAGATATGGTTTATATAAAGATTATAGATTTTATTCATATTTTAGTATACTTTTGTATTTTTAGATTTCGCATATTTATTTTAATTTTAGCCTTATTTTTTATAAATGTAATCGTGCACTTTACGTATTATTTTTATGCTTTTTAAATATGTCTATTTAATTTACATTTTTTTTTATTTCAGTTATTTTATTACATCAAGTTGAAATAAATGAGAAATGGTGCATTGGCAACTATAGGTTATTAAATGTTATTTAATTTTAGTTAATGCTCATTTTATTTCGTGTAAAAACAAAAATTTTTTTAAAAATATTTTTAAAAAATGTTATTGGTTTTAGTATGGGTTAACAATAATAACCCCGATACACACACTGATAACATGAATACGTGTCTTTGTATAAAAGTGCAAAATGAAAACATTTGAATGATAAAAAGTAGGCTATTTCCATCTTCATCATCATTCACCCACCCTCATGTCTTTCCAAACCAATATCACTTTCTCCTGCAGAACACTAATTATATTGATAATTAAATAAATTATGAGACCAAGAACATGCATAAAGGAAGTCGACACAAATTTTATATTGACTTTAAAGACAATAAATACAGTGACAGGATCGGCCATGTCGTCGGCTCACTGATAATCATGTGTAATCAGATTATGGTTGATATTAACGTGACTGATCAGACACTGAGCTGGCAGTGATGTGCTGGTGTGTTAAACTCATAACACCACGATTAACAGAGACTCCTGCGGTCACTGATCAGAGAGAAACACCATAATGATCCCCTCGCTGATCGAGTCCTTCAGATGAAGAATATATGATCTGAAATACACAACGATGAACAAGAGGAGGATGGGCATAAAGATAAGAGTGCATTTATACACTTCATGTTTGGGGTCTCTTCTGCTCACCAAGGCTGCATTTATTTGATCAAAAATATTATTACAATATAAAATGCTGTTTTGAATATATAAAACATAATTTATGTCCCGTGCCGTGATCAAATCTGAATTTTCAGCATCATTACTCCAGTCATCAGTGTCACATGACCCTTCAGAAATCATTATTTTCTGCTAATGTGATTTCGATAGTTGTCATCCAGTAAGAGTATAGAGCTAAAAAGCAGCTCAGATCATTTGCCATGAAATTAATTCATATGGAAATAGCCATTTGACTCTTGATTGCAGACTTAAGCATCAAATCTTAAACCCCATGGTTCCAAATCCAGTCAGTAGTTTATCCAGTCCTCTATATGGTTATGATCTCTGATTGTTTTTAATCTAAGAGGTGCAGTGGAGAGCCATCAAGATCACATTGTGCCAAAGAAGAGAGCGTGTGTGTGTGAGAGAGAGAGAGAGCTGTTGCTAGGCAACCTGCGTGCATGCCTAAGATTAGTAAGCACAATCCACGAGGATCAAATGTCTTTTCAAATCATGGCGCGACACAAGAAGAGTGTTCAGAGTAGACTGTTAAGAGCGAAAGAGGAAACACTGAACAGCTTTGCTTCATATTGAACTTTCCCACGCTGCAATGCTCAAACATGCTAATGTTCATCGATTAGATCCGCATGGAGGGCCTCGTCTCCTGTCATGCGTTCGGGGACCAGGGGGAAATACGCCTCTCATACAGTGGACACAGTTCAGTGATAATGCATTATCTCAGATATTCACCAAGCACTCTAAAAAACGATTCGTTGGCCGAACAACCATTACTTATAAAAGTAATTGGATCAAACATAAAACATTAAGTATTCATAACTTTTCAATGTTTACTTAACATATATAGTGTGTGTAACACAAAAATATAAGTTACTAGGTGCACTTAAATGTATGTATAAATAAAATGAAAAATACATAAGGCATGTCAACTTGCGTCAAAATTAAGTAAATCTAGCATATCATTTTAAGTACTATATGAGCCACGTGATATGCAATTTCCCGTGATGCCTATCAAATTTTAAGCCATTTTATTTCACAGCACATGTGAAGACGTTGAGAAGAGGTAAGCTTATTTTTTGTACTTAGGCCTACACATGATCATTTATTGCATTTTTGGTCAAGAAATTTACTTTTAACTGGATTTCAGAATTGCTACAAATTTTGCATCAACAATTAGAAACGTGTTACTTACGAATGTAAACGTTTGTAGTCTACATATGTTAATGAATGAAAGTGTTTTGCACGCGAGTATTTGAAGAGATATTGTGTTTTTTCAAAATATATGACCATGATGTTGGCTTATGCATTATTGGTGTGTTCACACAGAACGTGAATTTAATTATTTGCGATAGCAGATTACATTCATAGTCAATGCAAAGACGCGAAGACGCATCATTCGCGCCGGGCGTCGCGAATTGGGTGACTCGTTTGCCGCGAACGTCTTCCTCGGTAGAAAAATTTGAACTCGACAGGGCTGCGGAAGATTCAAGCATCTAACTAGACGTGACTTGTTTGACGCGTTCGGTTACCAATTCGGACGGCGCTTTCTCCCCCACGGATAGCCTAGATTATAGGCCTACTTTATTAGCGAGTTGTTTTTGGATAAAACAAATGTACCTTGCATATTTACAAATTCCCATATTCTCTATCTATACATGGATCGCGGGGAAGGGGGCTTTGGGCGCGGGTTAGCCTACTTTTGGTAACGTTAACATAAATATTACATTCAAAAACACATTGCCTACAGCTCCGTGTGCACAATTTATCATTAAATAATGGCCATCTTGATTCTAGCAGAATATTATTCCTAAATGACAGCGACAATTCAGTAAATTAAACCTTCTAAATTATTATCAAAATAAGTAAATACCCTTTAAACAAAAGTTTAGCTTCAAATAAAGATTGTAGATCTTTACTGTTTTCCAGTAGTTACTGTTCAAATGTTTTTGAAGAGATTCGTTCAAAACCTCTGGACAAAAGTCATTAATTAACTTCTATTTTGTTTAAATTAATAGATATTAATAGACTAATTTTTATATTTATAAGCATTTAATGGACTAATTTGTTACATTTAATTGTTTTTTATTGATTTTTTTTTTTTTTTTAAATGAAAGCCTTCATTTCTTTGATCCAAGAAAAAACTGTAATATTGTTACTATTATTATTATTATTTTAACAACTATTTTCTATTTTAATATATTTTAAGATGCAATTTAAAAGTTTTGGGTAAAAAATAAATAATAAAGTGAAATGCTTTATTGTGTGTGATTTGCATGTTTAATTTATTTTAAGACATGTAAGCTGAAGATCTAAAATAAGTTAAAATGGTTGGTTCAA